CATCGCCTACAACTGTCACGATCTCGGATTTTGGTTCTGCGCACTGGTTTTTGGTTTATAGCTTCTCTGGCATTTTGGAGTTTATGGTCTAGGATTTAGCGTGTACTACAGACCAACACCCACAAATCTGAAGAAGCCAAGGGGGACCAAAGAGCCCCTAAGCGAAAACCATCGCAGGTTATATCGTGTTTAGGGTTTAGGGCTTAAAGGGAACTCCAGAAAGTTGGAATATGGTGTCATGGTAGGATACCCTATAATTTACCTTAAAAGGGTTACGATAATGATATTCCAACTTTCTGGCTTCTACCGTAGGGCTTAGGGTCTAGGGTTCAGGGCTTAGGGTTTGGGGTTTAGAGATAGGTTCCAAGACGCTGCCTGCATGCACCATGCACTTCATGTCGCAATAACGGGGCAGGTGCCCACATGTTGCGCGCAAATGAGCTATATTGGTCCTTGGTTAAGCTGTATGTGTGTGCATATGTATATGTATACGTGTGTGTTCACTTGTGAGTGAGTATATACATACATATACACACACATCAACCATGTCCCATGTATACACATAAATACATGCAGAAGATGTAAATCAAACAACACAGATCATGCTCAAGAGCAACCCTTTTTTGGCGTCCTTAGGAATCCGTGCCCGCTAGCGCACAAGCAGGCAACGCTGCTTGGGCGTACAGCCGCGGACTGTGAGCCGAAAACAGCGGGAGGTTTAGGCTAAACCCTAAACCCTACACCGTTGAATGCTTTGAGTTTAGGGTTTAGGGGTTGAGGGTTAGAATTTGGAACTGTTTTGGTATCCTTTCTTTTTCGTCAGCCTATTGTCTCAACCTTCCGACGGACATGCTGGCTCAGAGGGTTCGGCTCTTAGGGTTTAGGGTCTTGAGGTTAAGGGTTTCGACGGTTTCGAGTTTAGGGATAAGGGGTTCAGGGAGCATTCGCATCGCCAGCGCTGTAAGTATCTGCGACACCGTGCCTGACTACTTTTTCAATCAGTCATGGTTGTTGTTTTTGCTGCTTGTGGTGCGAGCGTTCCTGATAGTTCTGAGCCTGTTCTTTTCCGAAAGTGCTACGTACGCTGGCAGTTAGCACCACACTTGCGACTGTTGCTGTTGCTGCTGCCACTTATATGTGATACTACATTCTTGACGCTGGACGATTATTGCCCTTTGGCGTTTACTCTGGCTACTGTCATGAGCATTCCTCAACTTGGGGACCCATACTACTGTCCTTACCAGTGCAAGTATCCAGTGCTGCTACTATCGACCACATCACCACGAATAACCCTAAGCCCTACTATGCTGCCATTCCTGCCAGCACTTCTCTTGCCGTTGCTGCACTGCAGTCGTTGCATCGAGGTTGCGCCTGAATCCCTGAACCAGCTATCCTTGGCAAGTGCCTAAGGTTAAGAGACCCGGTGCCCTGCAAGTGCTTGGATTCCAGGAAATAATTATTTCGTGAGTTTGAGTGTGAGGTTGAGTGTGGGCGAAAGTGTGAGCGAAAGTGTGAGCATGAATTTCCAGCCCATCGGGAAGTGTGAGGTTGAGTGTGAGAAAAGTGTGAGCGAAAGTGTGAGCGAGAGTACTGGGGGGTGGGGGTGGGGTGGTGGGGGTGGGTGGGGGGGTGGGGGTGGGGCAAGGGGTGGGTGGGGAGGGCGCCCACACTCCCGCCCACACTCCCACTCCCGCCCACTCCCCCGCTCACACTCCCGCTCACACTCCCGCTCACACTTTTCTCACACTCCCGCTCACACTCCCGCTCACACTTTTTCCTTGTAAAACGCAGGAAAAAGTGTGAGCGGGAGTGCGAGCGGGAGTGTGAGAAAAGTGTGAGCGGGAGTGTGAGCGGGAGTACTGGGGGGTGGGGGTGGGGTGGTGGGGGTGGGTGGGGGGGTGGGGGTGGGGCAAGGGGTGGGTGGGGAGGGCGCCCACACTCCCGCCCACACTCCCACTCCCCACTTTTTCCTTGTAAAACGCAGGAAAAAGTGTGAGCGGGAGTGTGAGCGGGAGTGTGAGCGGGAGTACTGGGGGTGGGGGTGGGGTGGTGGGTGTGGGGGTGGGGCAAGGGGTGGGTGGGGAGGGCGCCCACACTCCCGCCCACACTCCCACTCCCGCCCACTCCCCCGCTCACACTCCCGCTCACACTCCCGCTCACACTTTTCTCACACTCCCGCTCACACTTTTTCCTTGTAAAACGCAGGAAAAAGTGTGAGCGGGAGTGTGAGCGGGAGTGTGAGCGGGAGTGTGAGAAAAGTGTGAGCGGGAGTGTGGGCTGGGGGGTGGGGGTGGGGTGGTGGGGGTGGGTGGGGGGGTGGGGGTGGGGCAAGGGGTGGGTGGGGAGGGCGCCCACACTCCCGCCCACACTCCCACTCCCGCCCACTCCCCCGCTCACACTCCCGCTCACACTTTTCTCACACTCCCGCTCACACTGAAGCTCACACTTCCGCTCACACTCAGAATCCCCGCTCACACTCAACCTCACACTTCCGCTCACACTCTCGCTCACACAAAACCTCACACAAATAATGTTTTCAGACCATCCCAAGGGTTGCAGGGACTGGGACTCATAAGCCTAAGGGTTTAGGGCTTATAGGGTTCAGGGTTTGAGGACGACAGATAGAGCCCAAACCCAAACCTATACCCTTAACCCTAAACCCATAGGCCTAAAAACGACAAACCCATCGGCCGCACGCCGGGAGCTCGTTCCGTGGAGCGGCCACCTGGTCTGTACCAACATTCAATCCACTAATATAGGGGCCTTCATAATTAGAATAGGCTGTCGGGTATATTTTACCATAATCATAATGAGTACCTCTCACAATAGTATTGGTAATTAGTTGGGCCCCTATTAACAAAGTGTAGCGGCCGTAACAGTTGTTACAACAGGGCTCCGTTATGGAGGCCTGAACAATCAATATTGAAAGGGCTTTGGGCTATATAAGATATATTCAGGAAACCAGACTACTTGTATCTTCTCAGACCTGTCTATCCGGGTTGGAGTGTTTGGGGTTCGGGTTGCCAGGGTTGTGTTACCGGGGACTTACAGGAATTGTTGCAGGTTAAGTAGGACTGAGGCTTCCGCGCTTAGCTCTCCAACTTAGGGGCTTGAGTGTTGGGGTTGAGGTTTAGAGCATTAAGGTCTGGGGTGAGAAAGTCCTCAATTCAGGTTGAGGGACATTACTACTACCGTTGATGATATAAATCCTGCATAACTTAAGGACCCTAATCTACGGAAATTATGGTGTACTCCTTGTGATGGGTAATGCTGGATTTATGTCATCAACCGTAAGGATTCAGCCTAAACCCCAAACCCGAAACCCTAAACCCTAAACTAAACCCTGTACCCCAAACCCTATACCCTAAACCCTTAACTAAATCCCAAACCCTAAACTAAACCCTATACCCTAAACCTTTAACTAAACCCCCAACCCTAGACTAAACCCTAAACCCCAAACCCTAAACCCTAAACCCCAAACACTAAACCCTAAAGACATTCCCGATGCCCCTGGGATCCCGGACAGCCGGCTGCGCCAGAATCACAGCAAGCAGAGAAGGGAACAGGGAACGGCGGCCCTCCCGAGAGCTTTGGATGCATGGGGCTTTCGTTTTATGTAGTACCCTTAAGGGAGGGAGCCCCAAAGGGGGTAAATCTTGGATGTATGGGGCTTTGGGGGTTTAGGGTTTCGGGTTTAGGGTTAAGGCTTTAGGGTTTGGGTTTAAGTGGTTTTCTAGAGAATCCTCAAGGGAGGGAGGTGCAAAGGGGGCCTGGTGATCCCTAATTCCCCCGAATACTCCCTAAGGTTTCCTTCGTGTCCCCTAAGGATTCCTTGTACCCTCCCCCCTTGAACCACCCTGCCTTAAGGATCCCGTAAGTTTAGACTGTTAGGTTTTAGTTTGTTTGTTGAGGCCCTTTTCCTGCTTCAGTTGGAATACCTAACAGGTGGAGCCGTAGAGCTGTGTTTGAGGACTGAGAGGCCACCACACCAACTTGTGATAGCCTGGAACACGGTTTCGGGCCGTGTCAGAGTTGGGGGGGTAACGTGTACTGTAGGAGTTCGGACATTCGTCGAAGCTGTTGGAACGGCCACGATTGCATCGTGTTGTACGCAAAACCTCCATCGAAAGAGTTGAGAGCAGGCCTCCTGGCTGGATGCAGGTCTTGACTATGGGCCCCCTACCCTTTTGTCAAGCCACATTTCGGCCAAGACATGAGTTGTCTGTTTGGGCACTGCTAGACCTGACAGATATACTTGGAGACAGAAGGGGGGAAAAGGACTAAGTCCTATTCTGTCTTTGCGACGAGGACGACGACTACTACTACTGCTACTTGTGCTACTAGTGCTGCTCGTGCTACTTTGCCAGTACTACAGCTACAGCTGCTACTACTACTACTACTACTGCTACTACTACTACTACTACTACTACTACTACTACTCCTGCTGCTGCTACTACTACTACTGCTACCACTGGTGCTACTGCTGCTAATTGCTGCTGCTAATTACAGCCGCTAATTACTGCTGCTACTACTACTACTTCTACTACTACTTCTACTTCTACTTTGACTTCTACTACTACTACTACTACTACTACTACTACTACTACTACTACTACTACTACTGCTACTACTACTACCACTACTACTACTACGACGACGACGACTACTACTACTACTACTACTACTACTACTACGACTACTACTACTACTACTACTACTACTACTACTACTACTACTACTACTACTACTACTACTACTACTACTACTACTACTAGTACTAGTGCTACTAGCGCTAGTACTGCTCCTGCTACTGTAACAGCTACTGCTACTGCTTGTGCTACTGCTACTTCTACTGCTAGTGCTACAACTTCACTCCTACTCCTAGTCCGACTCCTTCTCCTGCTCCCACTCCGACTCCTACTCCTACTCCCACTACCACTACCTGCGACGACGACGTCGACGACTGCGCCCATGACAGCGTTATTCCTACAGCAGCTTTG